GGGCAGGCGGGGAGGGGGCTCAGGCTGCCGGAGACTTGGGGTCTTTCTCTAGGTCTGCCCCTTGCTCTCTAAAACTTTGTAGCACATTTGTGGGCGGGACTCGCTTACTGTCTCTAAGGCAGTGACGTTTTAGGGAAAACTGCACGGGCTTGTTTTTCACGGGTCGAGTGAGTCAGCCCAGTAACGCAGGAAGCCCGACAGAAAGGTGATTCTTTCATTTCACAAGTATGGTTATACTACTTAGGCAATTTCTTGTTTTTTAAATACTAGAAGATAAGCCCAGGGTCACCTTTTCTCCACAGGCTAATACTGAAGTGTACTCGACATAGTGTAAAACGGTTATGAATTCTTATCGGCCTCGGCGGTAACATTTAAGCTTTTTCCTATAATGGCCGACTCTTACGTATATGTCACACTTCACATTTGGTTTCTGGATTTCAGGCTGCTCCTTTTCCTGGTACTTTCACTAGAAGGATGAAAAGATTCTTCTGCCACTTTATTGAGGGTTTGCTTGAAAATAAGAGTGCTTCAACTGGGATTTTGTGTTCCTCAAATTAAAGTTGTTAAGGAATCCAACTTTTTTAGCTTTATAATTGTTCTTCATATGCCAACATAGAACTTGTTTTTCGTGGAAAGGGTCACTTGTTAACCTTACTGGATCTTCAGGTGAGGTCTTAACAGAAAAGGGGGAAATAATTAGCTACTAAGTAAAAGTAAAATTAATTTTATGGAGTTCTCATACAATTGTCGGGAGAATCTAAGGTATTCCGTTGGCAATTGTGGTTACACCTACATGTTATTGTGTATTTTTTTTCTACTAACACCTTGTTTTCAAGTCCAAGATCAGTAGACATAAAAGGGCAAAGTCAGTAGGCAGATACTAATGAATATGTACTTTACATGTTAAATTCCTCCAGTTAAGCATCTACAGTGGTTTGTAAAAATGTCAAATGAGACATACTTTGCTCAATTACCTAACCTTAGAACAAATTTTACTTACAAAACTAATTCAATAACGAAGTGCTTGATATCAGTCATATTTTTATTTAAGTATACATCATCAAATTTTATTTTTATCATTCAACAACAAAAACCGCCCTGGGTTTATGGATATTCCATTGGGAAGATAGCATTTCACAGGCAAAAAAAATTAGAATCTGCTGCAAGTTTTTTGTTGTTTTTTTTTTGTTTTGTTAATCCTCACCTGAGGATATTTTTTCCGTTGACTGTTGGAGAGATTGGAAGGAACAGACAGAGGGAGGGAGGGGGAGAGAGACAGAAACATAGAACACATAGATTGGTTGCCTCCCTGCATGCGTCCCCACCCGAGGCTGGGGGTCAAACCTACAACCCAGGTACGTGCCTTTGACGTGCAATTGAACCCATGGGCCAGAGGGCTGAAGCTCTAACCACACCACCAGGGCAAGATGCTGCAAGTTTTACTTAATCCTTTCCTTCTCTAACTTCTGGGAAAACAAGTGATTATGGAAGTGTACATGGAGGAGGTAGAGTTTTGGGGAAGGTCTTGAAAAATGGATAGAATGTTAAAGGCCACTGATTCTCAACTTTTCAGTCGAAACTTCTTTACATTCTTAAAAATCATTGAGGACCCCAGAGAACTTTCATTTATATTGGTTTTTGCTATTGATATTTGTCCTATAAACTGCAAAATCAAAAAATGTTTATTAAGTGATTTCACAGTCATAATGTTAATAAAAAATAACATGTTTATATTTAAAATTTTTTCCAAAACAAAAAAAAATTAGTGAAGAGAGTAATACTGTTTTACATTTTTGCAAGTCTTTTTAATGTCTGATTCAATAGAAGACAGCTGAGCCCTAGCTGGGTGGTTCAGTTGGTTGGAGCATTGTCCCATATACCAAAAGGCTGTGGATTCAATTTCTGGTCAGAGCACATACCTAGGTTTCCTTTTGGCACATATTGAGTAAATGCTTGAGTTCCTCTTTATGTCTGAAGCTCTTTGCTGGGCTCTGATAATGAAAACACCCTGCCTTTCAAGGGGCTATTGCTTGCTGTGTTGTGGTTGATGCATTAACTAATACAGTGAGTGGTCCTGCTCACACAGTACACAGTGGTATGGAAACACAAAGGAATGGATAGAAATTGAGACAGCCTAACGGAGGAGGTGTAATTTAATTGGGGGAAAGAGATAAAGAAGAAAAAGCATGTGTGAAGGTGTGAAAGTATGCCACATTTGGCATATAATTAAGTGTTGCTTAAGCGTAGGGTAATGAGGGTAATTGAGACTGTAAAGTTAAATTAGGTCAAGTTTTGAAGAACATTTATTGCTGAGGAATTTGTATTTTAGATTGCAGGCAGTACAGCAGTTTGTTTCTCATATCCCAAGACAAGATGATTAGGGAAGCAGTATAGCAAAATACTAAGAGGGTAGTCTCTTAAGTCCTACTGCCTTCATTCAAATTTCAGCACTTCTATTGAAAAAAAAACCAAAAAACTTTCCTGTGTCTCAGTTTCTAAATCTTTAAAATAGGGATGATACTGCATCTGCTCAATTGTTGTGTGACTTTAATCCATATAAGTTATGTATATTTAGCCACGTGACTCAAATATAGTGAATTATGTCTTTTATTTTACTATTAGTCATTGCAAAATGTGATTGAGAATTCTGAGTTAGAGAATACACTTATTTGCCTTTTGGAACCTGGACTTTGAAACTGATCAGACTAAGCATTTCTAGGCAGCATTATGTCTTCGACCCTAGAGGGTTTAGGAAGAAGTCAGCAAAGTCATGTGGCCAAAAGATTAGCTATATTCTCTAGATTACTGAGAGATTCCAGATTCCAGATCTCAAACTCCTCACCAGGAGAGTCACACAAGACCTTGAGGAAGCCTCCCTGTTATCACCAGGTCAGTTCTGCAATAGGCTAGTATAGGTATGTGCTGAGAACTGCGTAGTCTCATCAGTCTCAGGGTGAGACTAGATAAAACTTGATTCTGATTCACGTAGGCATAGCTGTCATTTATTACCCTGAAGTGTTCCACCCTAACAGCCTGAACGAAGTAAATTCCTGACCCTCAGTGCTATGGAACCTGAACAAGGGTCAGTTGCCCAGTTGTCCTCAGAGTCACGCCAACAAGCCCTTAGGCCAGCTAGAGATCCTTTACTGGCTAAACTTGATTAAACGGTTTTGTCTGGCTAAAGCATATCATGTGCTATGTTCTAATTTAGATACTCAGTAGTAGTTAAGGAATGAGTTTGGACTTTATCCTAAAGACAGTGAGAAACAGTAAAACAATGAAAGAGCTTTAAGTAAGGAAACTGGATCAATCAAATCTGCATTTTAGAAAAACTGTTGTGTTGTGGTGTGCTGACTGGAAATGAAGTGCTGGAAGCAGAAAGATTAGTTAGGAGGCTCTTACAGTAGCTTGGTCATGGGAGGGTGATAACGAGGTGTAGGATCTTGGAAGGGGAGCTGGGCAAGTTCAGGAGATATCTAGACATCTTATTCAATATGGATGGTCCTAATCACTAGACTACCAAATGTAATCACTTGCTGTTGCTAAGTAAAGCTTGTTCCCTCAAATATTAAGAATTGTGAAATATCCCCACAGTTTGTATTTCAAGAAGGCCGAGATAGTGATGTTACTGAGGAAGGCTGACTGGTTAGCGACCTAAGAAGAGTCTCACAGAATATCGCTGCTATAGTGATATTGTTTCAAGACTATTTTTCAACTTCTGAAGTTCAGAAATAGAGTTTTTATTGTTTGTCATTATTTTGTTTTAGGATATCCCAGGATGTCTTGAGAGAGACTGACACACTTTTTACATGTAGAAGACTTACTGCTTAAATTAGAATGAAGTATAACTTCCAAGTGGGCTTGAATTGTGCAGTTGATAGAGTCTATTCCTATAAGAGATTTTACATGGGAAGCTAAATTATAAGTAGAAGATTGCTTGGTGAGCATGGACTTGGAACAACTAAAAAGGACACACCGATTTGAACTGGGAGATATTTTTACTTTGGGTTGATTTAACTAGTTATTTGAACTGGGAGATATTTTTACTTTGGGTTGATTTAACTAGTTTAATTCTCAAAATATAGCTTTATTTCCAAGTTTGGGAGGTATTCATTATTATTAATTGAATTGTCCTTTTTCTTTTTTAATAGTGTCCATGGGCTACCCCTCAAAATACAGTATCTTGTTCTTTGGCTGATGTAATGAGTGAACAGTTGGCTAAAGAGTTGCAATTAGAAGAAGAAGCTGCCACTTTTCCTAAAGTTGTGTAAGTAAAATTCAGAAAGAATCTATTTTGACTAGCAGCTTATTATAACAAAATTTTAGGATTTGATCAGTGATTGTCATCACAAATAATTAAGAAATACATTTAGAAAAGCAGTGTGTAGAAAAAGCACCATACTGGGAGTCCATTGATATTTGAGATTTGGTCCTGATTCTGTGATGAGTTTTCAGTATTACTTTGGGCAAACCACTCTGTTTCTCTGGGGTTTAGTTATTGCAACAGTTGAACCTGATGGTCTCCAAATTGTCAAATAATGTCTTAATCAAATGTCTGCAGTTTATTTTTTTTGTATAGATATTATCTCTCTTTTGATCAGAACAAATGAATTCTGGGTCTTAGTGTGGATTTTATTATATACCCTTTAGCTTTCTCTCAGAGCATTCTTAGTCCTAGTTGGTGCTCTCACAGGTTTCTGCCATTAATTAGAGGGTGGCTGGGCAGGAGAGGTGCTTTGGTAAAGTTTGTCCCTATTGTTTCTTTAGTACAATTTTTAACAATGAAAAAGCACATCCTACTCTCATAATTGGTAGCATCTATTTACATAAGCACAGTATATTAGTTTGTATTGCCTTATTTTGAATAGTGTTGCTGAAGGACCATTTATTACTGGAGAAAACACTGATACTTCCAGCGACCTAATGCTGGCTCAGATGTTACAGATGGAATTTGACAGAGAATATGATGCACAGCTTAGGCGTGAAGAAAAAAAATTCAATGGAGATAGCAAAGGTACTATGACCTCATTGTAACAACTGCATTGGGTGGTAGAAAATGCTTGTGAAGTGCTCCTAAATAAGTCTTCAAACTCTTTTTGCCTTTTAAGTTTCCATTTCCTTTGAAAATTATCGAAAAGTACATCCTTATGAAGACAGTGATAGCTCTGAAGATGAAGTTGACTGGCAGGATACTCGTGATGATCCCTATAGACCAGGTATCAATGCTTTTATTTGATGGGGACATAGGAAGACTTAAGTTTTCCAATGAATCCTTACATTTTATATTTATCTTTGAGTCGAGTTTGGTGATTTACTGTTAGATTCAGGTATCTTTTCAGACAATACTGAATTCAGCAATTTAGTCTTTGCTATTTTTACATACTTGGCTTGTCTTAATTGCCTTTAGCAAAACCAGTTCCTACTCCCAAAAAGGGTTTTATTGGAAAAGGAAGAGACATCACCACCAAACATGATGAAGTAGTATGTGGGAGAAAGAATACAGCCAGAATGGAAAATGTAAGTTACAGAAAGTATTATCTCTGAGTTGAGAATTTTATTGGAATAAGTTAAAGCCATGGGATTCTAAATACAATATCTTAAATTTCTAAAAATAGCTTTTGTTCTTTCTAAAGATGTTTTAGATTATAATGTGGCAATATCATTGAAAACTCTTAGCCACCAATGAGAATACAATGTACTGCAGAATAAAATTCTACAATATTAAGAAAAATAGTTTGTATTGATTCTAAAATTAAGAAGATCTTAGGAAAGTAGTATTTATTTTTCAGCATATTATTTTTCATAAAATAGCACTCCTACCCAAGAACAGATAACACTGGTGATTTGGGGATAAGAATGGGAGCAAGAAATACTTTCTACTATATCCCCTTTTATACTTTTTACATTTTTTATCTTATGCCTGAACTTCCCCTGAAAAGTCAGAAATAAAATGTAACTCTAAAAAAATAGGAAAAGGGAAAAAATATCATTTTTCCTCTTTCATAAATACTTTGGTTAATATAAAACATTTAGATCTGAGGACACAAATACTTGTTAAGAAGACCTATTAATTCTAAAAACAGTCCAGATCTGACTTTAGAACAGCCCTGTCTAATAGCACTTTCTGTGGTAGTAGAAATGTTTTATATCTATACTATCTAATATTAGCCATATTTGACAATTGAAATTTGGATGTTGTAATTGAGAACTAAATTTTTTGTTTTAATTAATTTAACTTTAAACATAATTGTCATGGTGTTGGCATAGCTTGCTATACTAACCCACTCCTCAGAAATAATTAATTATGAAATTATATTTCTTTGGTAAGATTTGGTGTAGTCTTCAAAATATAATGTGTCCTTTGATGTAAAAGCAAGGTACAAAGTATATGCTGAAATGTTTTTAGATGTGATTGGATGTTTTCTGTGCATAGAATAAAATTAACCTCCTCCTTTGGGTTGTAGTTTTTTAAACAGCCTTGCTCTCCTTTCTGTTGGGTTTATTAGAGAGTCATTTTATTTTTTTCTCTGTAATACCTATGGGTTCCGCTTTCATAGCCTGATCATTTATTGAGTAGGAAACCTATTTCAAGTAAAGACTGATCTCATTTTTTGTTTTTACTGGCCCCATTTTAAAGTATTCAGATGCTAATAATTCTTCTTCTTTTTGGCAGTTTGCACCAGGATTTCAAGTAGGAGATGGAATTGGAATGGATTTAAAACTATCAAACCACGTTTTCAATGCTTTAAAACAACATGCCTACTCAGAAGAACGTCGAAGCGCCCGCCTTCATGAGAAAAAAGAACATTCTACTGCAGTAAGTAATCTTACATTTTTTTCTGTTTGATTTTTTTTTTTATGAGATTGGTTTTTCAAATCAAAGGTGTAAATAAAACCCAACTTGTTTTGCTTATTAGACTTTTCAGATTTAATGTAATGGTTATTAATCACTTATTTAAAACTAATATTTTAGTGGTCATAATTTGAACTGTATAGTTTATATTGCATATTAATGTTCTAAGATTTTAAAGAAATTTGACATTTGTAATAATTTACAAGTCTCTGATGTTTTATATGAATGAAGACTGTCAAATATCATGAAAATAATTTTTAAACCTTTAGAAAAATAAACTAATTATAAGTACACTGGGAGAACTGTTTAAACTATGGAGATAAAAAAGATTTTGACTAAACTAATGTCTGACTTCTAATAATTCTTTTATATATTCATCTACAAAGACAGAGTTAAAGTTACAGGAATGAATTGTATCTTGACGCTACTCTTTTTTTTAAGTATTTATTTTTAAAAATTATATTTATTTTTTTAAAAAATTGATTAGAGAGACAGAGAGAAACACCAATGATGAGAGAATCATTGATCGGCTGCCTCTGCATGCCCCCTACTGGGGATTGAGCCTGCAACCCCAGCATGTGCCCTGACCTGGAATCAAACCGTGACCTCCTGGTTCATGGGTCAGTGCTCAACCACTGAGCAACACTGGCTGGGCTTGAGGCTACTCTTAAGAGTCTGTTTGTTATAAGTAAGTAATAAAGGTTTTAAAAAGTATATATTTTGAATGTTTGATATTAGAAATGGCTCAGAAAGTGTTATATGATAAACATTTTCATTTATAGTGCTTTATCTCTTGCAGGAAAAAGCAGTTGATCCTAAGACACGTTTACTTATGTATAAAATGGTCAACTCTGGAATGTTGGAGACAATCACTGGCTGCATTAGTACAGGAAAGGAATCTGTTGTCTTTCATGCGTATGGAGGGAGGTAAATGAGCAAAATACAATACCATCATGTCAGTAAAAGTTTAGCCCCTTCTCCCCAATATGAGTGGGTTTTTACAAAATTAAAGTTAATGCGGCATGGAAAGCAAAATAATTTAAAAAGTATTATTACTGAAAATCTGGACACTATAAGGATGTAGAAAGAAAAACATACTCATCTTAATCCCACCATCGGGTGATAACCATTAATTTTGTGTAGACTCCTTTAGTCTTTTTTCTGTGCATATACTTTCTACTTTATTGTAATCATACTGTATCATATAGGCAGCTATAAGTAGCAGAGCAAAATTCGAACCTGTGTTTGTCTAAACATTTTTGCATGGGTTTTGAGAGATGGGGCCTTTCAGTACCAGGTCTGAGGGGACATGCTTCATCAGTCACTGATTCTTCCCCTTGCAACTCTGATTCTTACTTTAAGAAATACCATCTTTCTGGCTCGGCTGGCATGGCTCAGTGGTTGAGTGTCAACCTATGAACCAGGAGGTTAAAGTTCGATTCCTGGTCAGGGAACATGCCTAGTTTCAGGCTTGATCCCCAGTAGGGGGACATGCAGGAGGCATCTGATTAGTAACTCTCATCATTGATGTTTCTCTCTCTCTCTCTCCCTCTCCCTTCCTTTCTCTCAAGGCAATAAAAACATATTTAAGGAAAAAAGAAATACCAGCTTTCAGTAATGCTTACATTATTTAAGAAAACGTGTTAGAGGTCTTATGCTGTTTAGATCTTACCCACTTCACTTTTATTACAAGGGCTTCGATGAATAAAGAACTGCACAAGGAAGAGAAATGTTTTTTTAAAAGTGGAGCTTGTTTAGAGAACATGCCAGGAATATGAAATCATCTGGTTATTTACTGTCAAAATTACAGCAAGGCTTACTAGCTCAGCTATCCCTTTACCTTAATGTTGTTTACAAACAAAAATGTTAAAATAGATTACGAAGTTATTCTAGTTTTTTTAGGTTTAGAAAGTTATTTACTATGTACTTAAGGTGATTTAAACAATTATTGATCAAGTCCTTACCTCAGGTTTTCTTTTCTTTTTTTAATTTTTGGTATTGATTTTAGCGGGGGAGGGGGCAAGGGAGAGAGATATCAATTTGTTGTTTCACTTACTTATGCATTCATTGGTTGATTCTTGTATGTGCCCTGACCAGGGATTGAACCCACAAAATTGGCGTATCGGGACAACGTTCTAATCAACTGAGCTACCTTGCCAGGGCAGGTTTTCCTATTTAGTCTCCCTTTCTAGATGAGATATACACATATAATTGTATATCAAATTACACTGTTAAGTTCCAAAAAGAAAAGGGTAAAAATGAATGTTAGGATAAAATAGTTTAACATTTTTCAAGCTATATAATCTGGAGCAAGTTACTAACCCTCATTTATAAAATGACCTTTGCCTCATAGGATTTTTGTGGGGATAAATGAGGGTACTTGACTATACCTGGTATATGGTAATCTTAGTAAAAATTTCTTTCTTTCTTCAAGCTTTGTTGCCCTCTTTCCAAATTTATTTGAGGGTACCCTAAGACCATGCACAAATTATTTAAAATGAAAGATTACTTGTGGTAGAAATTAAAAAGTTCACAGAAAGGATTAAAATGAAAAGTATTCTTCATCTTACCAACTCTAGCCCCATAGATCTTTTCTCTAAAGATAACTACTATTAACAATTTTTACTCTAATCTTCCAGAAATTTGTATGCATCTATTCCTTATTTTGTTAATATAAAAAAGATTATACTCTTATATTCAGGATCTTAGTTTTCCTGTACTATATCTTAGATCCTTCTATATTACTGGCTTACATTACCCCATTTTTATGGTTGTACATACCATTGTGTGAATATATATGAGTATCCTTGTATATCTACCTTCGTGTGCTTTTGCCAATATATCCTTAAGCCAAATTCCTAACACTGAAATTGCTGGGGCAAAGACTATATGCATGCATTCGGAAAACCTACTTTATTATGTAACAGACTTTCAGCTTTAACGGACACCCCCTTGCCTGAATTAGTCCATTATATTGAGGTTTTATTGTACTTGTAAGTTAGCAAAACTAGAAAGCATTTTGTTTTCTACAGCTGGGAGTAAATACTTTTAAAAGTTTATATTAGTTTTCTCTGCTACATAATAAATTACCACAATCTTAGCAGCTTAAAAGTAAAACACTCATTTAGTATCTCATAGTTTTAGTTGATCAGAAGTTTGGGCAGGCATGGCTTATCTGGGCTCTGCTCAGGGTCTCACAGGGCTATAAGCTAGGCTGTAATCCTTTCTGGAACTTGGGTCCTGTTCCCTTGGTACAGTGCAGTTCCTTGCAGCTATGGGACTGAGGTCTCTACTTTATTGCTGGCTATCAGGTGGGGGCTGCTCTCAGCTTCTAAAGGCCCCTGCAGTTCCTGATTGTGTAGCCCTTTCACATAGAAGGTGACTTCTTCAAAGGCAGTAGGAGAATCTCTCCTTCATTCAGCTAAGACTTGAGTCTTAACGGAATGTAATCCTGGGAATGACTAGGCCATCACCTTTGCCATATAATGTAACCTAATGAAGCGAGTGGCTATGCCACCTACACTCAAGGGAAGGGGATTATTCAGAGTGTGTATACCTGGGGCTGGGATCTTTGGATCTTGGGGGCCATTTTAGAATTCTGCTTACCACAGAATTGTTCTGGTTTCTATTACTCTCAGGTTGACCTTGTAATCAACAATTAATTGAATAGGTACTTGTGCTAGATTTTTCAGGGCATAAAGTGTAACACGTTTTCTACTCAAAGAGCTTATGATACAGCCAAGAGGAAAACATTACAGTAAGAATTGTTATGGTCAATAAAAGATAATTATGTAATAGAGTGCAGCTGTATAAGTGAGACTTTGTAGTGTGGGACAGGAATAGAGAACAGAGCAAGATTCTTGCTAGTCATGTTTAGAGAAAGTAGATCTATCCATGTGTCACAGAATCTTTATTTTGAAATTGTTTTACTTGTGAGCTCGCAACTTATACTGACTTAATTTTTTTTCTTCCATTTAGCATGGAAGATGAGAAGGAATATTGTAAATTTATACCTACAGAATGTGCCATCAAGGTATTTAAAACAACCCTTAATGAGTTTAAGAACCGTGACAAATATATTAAAGATGATTTCAGGTTTAAAGATCGCTTCAGTAAACTAAATCCACGTAAGATCATCCGAATGTGGGCAGAAAAAGAAATGCACAATCTCACCAGGTAAAGAAAATCATGGTGCTAGAAGTAATCTTGAGTAATTACCTTTTTGTATTAGGCCTGTTTAAGCCAGGCAAAAAAAATCTATGCTTTCTTTTTAATTCATTTGCAGAAATTATGGAAGGCCTTGAAATTCTGGTGTTTGATGAGGCTTTATATAAAAAACATTTCCATACATATAAATATGAATTCATATTTTCAGGATAAATGAAGCCATTTTCTGCCTAAGATATTTTGTCATATATCTAAATGCTATCTTTTTTCGTCTCCCAATTAGGATTAGTATAAAAAATGATTTCCCTTTTTTTGTTTCAGAAAATGTTTATTACATGTAATGTTTGTTAATTTGGTGGGGGTGGAGTCTTACCAGTCAAATTGCATTTTGCTTTAATTTATTATTGTTTCTCAATTCTCTAAGCAGAATTTATCAAGGAATCTGTTTTATCAGCCAAGTAACTTAGTAATAATCTTTCTCATTAATAAACCTCATATTGTATTCTTACTGAAAGCTTAATTTTAGTTTATTTTTTTCTAAAGATGTTTGCTTTCAAATGTAATATTCATATTTATTAGTTATAAAATTCTTCTACTTAATAGGACTAAATATAGAATAATTTCCTAAGAGATATTGCTGGCCTCCAGTTTCTTCTGTATTACTGAGATCTCACCTCTGCCTTTCTTAAAATTCTTCAACAGCCCCTGTAGTCTTTAGTGTAAAGTTCAAAGCCCTTTTGCGATGCGGAGCCTACCTCTCTCTGTAGCCTCAACCCACATTGCCCTTCTTCCTATTCAGAATCCCTCTGTGTTGATTTATATACTTTCCCCAAATGGATTGTGCTCTTGAACACCTCTTTGCATTTCTACAAGCTGCTTCCAACCTTAGACCAGCATTTCCTCACACTGTCTTAATCTGGCTAATTCCCATTTGCCCAGTTTTCCTTGATGTTGTGTGCTCCCATAGCTCCTATCCCCATTTCTGCCAGTGCACGGACCACATTGCACTGTAATCATCTCCTCACCTGTCTTGTCATTTCCACCATTCCATGTGCATTCCCACATCTACAGGGTAAAATATGCCAGCTCATTGCAGGCCCTTGATAGATATATTTTGAATGAGTAAAACATTTTCTCCAGATCTTTACATTCTTGATCATTTCTTTCTGTATAGAATGCAGAAAGCTGGAATTCCTTGTCCAGCAGTTGTGCTACTCAAGAAACACATTTTAGTTATGTCTTTTATTGGTCATGATCAAGTTCCAGCCCCTAAATTGAAAGAAGTAAAGCTCAGTAGTGAAGAAATGAAAGAAGCCTACTATCAAACTCTTCACGTAAGTTGTGCCTTTGAAAGCATTTGCACACCAACTTTAAAAATATTTCTTCTAAATTTTAAAAGTTTCCTAAGATAGTACCATTTTATGGTGATATAATGACAAACTGAAGTTTGTGAAAGAATGTTAACATTGACGAGTTATCTTTATACCACTATGTGTGTGTCTTGAGTCGTTTTAGAGAAATAGACTTTGAAGCAAGTGAAGGCTCCATTGTAGCATCAGTGACAGAAGCATGAAGCTATTATTCACAAAACTTTATTTTGACATTACTACATTTAAGAGATGTAGTGCCTAATTGGTTTTTATGTTTTTTGAATGATAATGCTCTAACTGCAAAGAAATTACCTTTCCTTGTTGGGAAATTCAAAGGAAGCAGATTTGGACTCATTATAAAGTGCAGCTGGAAACTAAAGATGGTAGGGAGTGGTTTCTCCATCCGTGCAGGTGTTAGAGTTGGAAAGCACTTGTCAGGAATCTTGAGGAAGCTATGCTTCGGGACAGCAACTGAATTCAATCTGAGGTCCTACTAGCTTAAGAAAATGCCTCCAATATTGTTATTTTTCTGTATTAACTGAATAGTGGAGAAACATATGCTTTTTATACAGTCTCTGCATGGAGCTCATGGCATTCATCAGTTCATATGAATATAAAAGTGTTATACAAGTTAATTTTTTAAGATATAGTTAGGGAAATCCAACTTACTTTGCCTCCAATAGGACAACATTCGAAGGAAAATCAAATTACTTTTCTGGCTGCTTTTTTTTTTTTTTCTGGCTGGCAAAGAGATGAAGTAGTAATGTACTTTTCCTATTTGAATTATATTAAGGCTGGGAAGCAAAGCCTTAACACTGATTTCTACTATAAGGTTAGGGCTCACCATTGATAATGAACATATAATGCCACATAATTTATAAGAATATCTCTTTCGTACTATGTCTGGTAGGAAGTACTTTTTAACCTTGGAATTGTATACATCCCATAGAGGTCTCAGTGAGCCATTTGCTCTTTTATGAAGGGTAAACCTAAGTATCCTCCTGGTTAGTGACCATGCACATGGCTGCTCTCTTACTCATGTGGAATCCAGGTCTGCCCCTTGGCCTCCTGACCTCATTGTTATCACATGGACAAGGAAGTAGAGTGTCACACACTCATCCCCTCCATTGTCTCACTGTTTCATGACCCCGCCTTAAAAAAAGAAAGCCGTCCTAGACTACAAAGAAGAAGTAAGCTCTAACTTAGTCTTGATTTTTCTGGATACTATTGGTGAGCATAGACATTTTAGTTGTATTGGTAAATTAGTATTGTTATTTCATTTCCTAAATGTCTGCCTTATCTTCTCACAGTTGATGCAGCAGTTATATAATGAATGCACGCTCATACATGCTGACCTCAGTGAATATAACATGCTGTGGCATGCTGGGAAGGTGAGGAGCATATTTTGTTAATGTCCAGATTAAATGACTTGATGGAAATTACTGAAGGTAAATCACTGTATAATCTATATTTAAATAGGTTTGGTTGATCGATGTCAGTCAGTCTGTAGAACCAACCCATCCTCATGGCCTGGAGTTCTTGTTCCGTGACTGTAGGAATGTCTCACAGGTAGGCATGTAAACTAATAGTTTTTTTAATGGAATATAAGAGATTCATGTATTTTTCTCACTTCTAATAAAAGTAAGATATTCTTAGAAATTGAAGGAAGGGATTGGTAACTGGCTGCCTTCATGATAAAGATATAAAGATCAATTTGTCATTTTATTTTCAGCAAGAATTTGGTTATATGCCTCACATTTGGGCCATTGAATTATAGTTCCAATAGACTAAATTTTTATCTTGGCTCCAAATATTTAAACAGTCCAGTAGACATTTAATACATGCACAATGCTTAAAGAGAGGCTTGCATATAGTAAGTCTGCATGTTTACTGTCATTGTTATTACCATTGAAAGGACACTAGTCATACTGGTACAGTGTCTGATCAGTGTTTCTGTGAGGCAAAGTAAACAGATCAGGAAGGGTAAAACTTAGCAGTCACAGAGTTGGGTCACATTTGTTTGCTATTTCTAAAGGAAATTAATTGTTAGCAATAGATTCAGATAGTAGTGTTCTTTCTGAATGATAGAATAACTTCATATTGGAAATAAGTTCTATGCCTGCTTGACAATTTTATTAGATTTAGTGAATACTTTGAATCTACACATTCAAAGCAATGCCAAACAGTTTTATAAACCACTCATTTTTATAGCTTTAGAAGGCGTAAACTTAATCCAGCTATAGACTGACTAACTCAGAAGACAGCACAGATGTGTAAGAGGACAGAGAACAAGTAGAACCTGAGCACAGTTAAACTGGAAGTGGGGAAACCTGTGGTTTAAAAATTGTGGGAGGAATTCAGTGGTGTCCTACAAGTATACTATTTCCTGTTTTTAGAGAACCTTGCTAATATCACTTACGTCCTTATATTTCTTTTACTAGTTTTTCCAGAAAGGAGGAGTAAAGGAAGCCCTTAGTGAACGAGAGCTCTTCAATGCTGTTTCAGGCTTAAACATCTCAGCAGATAATGAAGCTGATTTCTTGGCTGAGGTAAGCTTAGCTGTTTTTTCACCCTGCTGGTAATGGAGTACTGGCTATTGTAGATTACTGAAACTCAAAGCTAATTTTATCCCCCCTCCCCTCAAAAACAGAATTAATTTAAGATTTGTATTTTCTGGAAACATTTTTGGTCCTTTCTAGGCTTAAACCCTAAGATAGACATAGCAAAAACTCTTCTTTGAGGTTGAGATGAACAAATAACGCATTTCCAATACACTGTATTTCCCCTATCTTATGAAGTTAACTGGTGAACACTCTGAGTGATAACAAGAATTAGTAACACGTGGTCCCTGCTTTTAACTGAACAAAGAAAGTTAGTGGCCATTCTTAGAAATACCCAGTCATTATAACATGGATCTATATAGAACTAAAGAAAAAAAATCTCCCTCAGAGAAGGTCTCTTACAATTGAACAAAAACTAAAAAGTGAAACAGCAAATAATTCCCAACAATATACCAAAGCAGAAAACAGTTATTATGGAGTCTGTTCCAGAACTTCTGTATGACTTGAATTTGGAAAGCTGGATCTAAGACCAGAGAAGTACTAGAAAGATGGTAAATCCAGCTTCTAGCTCAGTATAGTTGCTAAGTAGGTGTTACTATTGTTGAACAAATGCTGGGAAATCCTTTTTCCTGTTCCCAGAAAGCTTTATAGAGTACACAGTAAGACATATCTTGATTTCATTTGCTAGCTTGATAAAGAACTAAATATTAACCCTCCTAGTATAGTCAAATAAAAAACATAGCCTGGCCGAGCATGGCTCAGCGGTTGAGCATCGACCTAGGATCCAGGCAGTCGGGGTTTGATTCCCAGTCAGGGTACATGCCCAGGTTGCGGGCTGCAACCAATCAATGGTTCTCTCATCATTGATGTTTCTATCTCTCTCCCTCTCCTTTGCTCTCTCTGAGATCAATATAGATATATTAAAAACCAAAAACATACATGTATGTGTTATGCTGTAATATATGTATGTGACACACTCTAATATGTGTCATACTGTCATTCTGATTCAAGGCCATCATCATTAGGAGTGACCTTGTTTTAAGGGAGTAAACATACTGCCTCAATCTGAAGTATAGTTTCTGTGAAATAGGATTTTGACAGATGCATTCAATTTTAAATGGTATTCATTTTGTAGATAGAAGCTTTGGAGAAAATGAATGAAGATCATGTTCAGAAGAATGGAAGGAAAGCTGCTTCATTTTTGAAAGATGATGAAGGTCCTCCAGTTCCATGTGATGAATAGCACTAATACCCACAGCTTTCAGTGTTAACACAGCGGTAATTGCCAGCTGCCAATGCCAAACGAAGTTATGGGTGACTTGAAATACCGAACACGAGGAGTGTACAATGGTGCTTCTGTGCATTTTGCCCCTTGTAACCCATATGCCAGATGTGTGGAATTTTTAGCTTGGCATTGAGAGAATAAAATGTCACTACCTCTCATCTTATGAACAGGATAATATAATTCTTTAACAGCTAAAGGTTATCTGTTGAAATCAACCTGATTTTACAGGATTCGTGGTATAAAATGTTTTGATGATAATTTTTAAAAACTTAGGTAACATTTCCAGATATGGGAGGAAAGGACAGAAGTGTTTACAAGGGAGGCTTTTATTACAACATACTTGGTCTGATCACCTCCCTGTTTTGTGTTTCATCTTTCCTGAAATATTTTATTGGCCTGAAATTAGCCCTTCTCAGTTCTTTTTCCAGATTGTGACCATGATTCTAAAGGAAAATAATCTTCCTTTAGTAGGTGTTATAAATGGAAATCTGGTTTCAGAATGGCTGATGGAAACAGTCATAAGCAAAATACTTTTATTGGTACATTGTGAATATAAACTGAATTCTTTCCCATGTTTATATCCAAGAAAAGGCATTGTAGGTTTTTGAAATTTGTGTGTGTGTGTGTGTGTGTGTGTGTGTATATATATATATATATATATATATATGTATATCTTTGTAAGAACCATCCAAATTTTTAAAAATTAACTTTCATCATTTCTATATTTAGGTGAAATGGATAGAATGTAACTCATGGTGCAGCTGCTCTGCATTTATAATAAAAATGTAAAATATCTGGAAGGGCAGAAATAAGATTTAATCCTGTTTGACACATTTTAATGAAGTCAATGATACAAGTTCAGTTTACATTTCATTCAAACATATACTTATTCATTCATTTTGAGAGAAATACAGCAAGTCAAATGATAAACACTAGGTGTGAAACACATTGGGTACCAAATTAACCAACTAATTTGAACTATCTGACCTCACTTTTAATAATTTTTAGTATTAGCTAGATGCCACTTTTTAAATAAAGTAAGCACTGCATTGGCTTTATTAGGATTGAGGTTCATTAACTACAATGTAATCATTCCTCCTATTACTGATTTCAGATTGGAACCACTAGAGGCCCAATCTGATAATAGAAAGTAAAAATCTAAACATCATTTACATTTGAAAGTCCCTCCTTTAATATTTACAAATGCCAAATATGTTCTTTCTAGAAAAGTATTTATTTTTGTTTCTGTTTTATGGCTTTTAGAGAAGTATGATTTCGGGTGGATACTTATTACATTTCTGAAATGTTTACTACTATGAAACAAAGATTTAAATGATTGGTGATTATTGGCTTTACAGAAATTTCAGAGAGCTAATTTTTAAAAACCACTAACCACTTAAAAAGTTTTTTGTTTTGTTTTCTGACATGCTCTGTTTGACTAAGAGCAACGAATGTTGCTGTATAGCATTCTTGGAGTGTGCTGTGAAACATGCTTTTTAAGATATTAAAAACAAAGAGATCATTTTAGAATTGATTCTTTGTGTGGTTTCTTCCTGTTCCTTATATTAACTTATATCCTGGCACCAAGTTACCCCTTCTGCATAAAATGAAGCAGTACTATTTTAAGCAGTTTTTTCCCTCTCCACTTCTCATTTAGATTTCACTTTTAAATGACCTACTGCACATTACAAATAGGTTTTTCCCTTCCTATAGATCAGAGATTAAATGTTCCACTTTGTGGAAAAAGAGAGTTTTGCCCATCCTCACCAGCATTTTGTATAATCAGTTTCTTTATTTTGGCCACTCTAACAGGCGTGTAGTGATACCTAGTGAGATCCATAGTAATACTGACATAGGATTTTTTGAAAGCATATAATGAAATTATTAACATTTAAAAGATCCATGTAACTCGGTGAACAAATATTTTCCAAACTACCAGCACATGGTGTTACAAAATTATCCATGACTGTTCTGGTTTTAAAATATGTCCACCAATTCTTTGATACCTCTCTTTTCAAAGACAGACGCTAATTCTCCTCTCTAAATGTGGTCTGCACTCAGTGAATCTAAAGAATAGAATGTAGCAAAAGTGGTGAAGTGATACTTCTGAGGTTAGTTCATAAAAGACACTGTGGCTTTGGGTCCCTTGCTCTGGGGGAAGCCAGCAGCCATGTCTTGAGACACTCAGGAAGCCTCTGGAGAGACACACATGAGGAAATGAGATCTGCAGACAGTCACATGAGTGAGGTTAGAAGCAGATCCTGTCATAACTACAACTAGAGGGATCCTGAGCCAAAACTACCCAGGAAGCCATGTTCAAATTCAGATGCGCAGAATTGTTAAATAATAAATGTTTGTGCCTTTAAGCCCCTCTAAATGGGGGGTAATTTGTATCAGAGCAATAGATAATCAATTGTTGTGTAGCATTAAAGGATATCTACAATATCTGAAAAGGCTATTAATATACTCCTAGATTTTCCTCATATATTTCAACTAAAACAAGGTATCTCAACACATTGACTGTAAAAGCAAATATGAGAAATCAGCTGTCTTAAGTCAGACATTAAAGTTGCAAAAATACAAAAGTGCCATTTTTCTCACTGAAGTTTTGGAAAATATATAGTGATTTTCACTTACATTCTTTATATTAACATGTAATGGGTTTTGTTACTGTTAAATGCTTAATGTTTCTAAATTTTTAATTTTAAAGATTTCAAGAAACATGTTTACTCTCAAAAATGATTGATATTTACCTTATTAAAAATGAAATCTTTAAAATTAAAATGAATACCTGGAGGTGGAAATCCCTGAGGGCCATCTTGGAGGCTGGCTACCACAGTGTTTGAACTTTTACAAGTATCACCCTGTCCTGAGTTATTTTTTCGGTAGAACTTACTTCTATCTGACATATATTACTCATTTCTGTTTCTAGTCACTAAACATTAATTTAGAGCAGGAATGTTTGCTTGCTTTATTCATTGCTGTATCCCAAACACTACAGTGTGTGGCACACTTGAGTAGAAATTTAAATATAGTTTGAATGTAGGAATGGTATAACTGTAGGAATGGTACAGCAGCAAATGTCAGAGGCTCTCCTCTGGGCTACCTTGCTCTCTCATCTCTCGGATCGTGGCTTCTCAGGCTCCGGCTGCCTCGGTAGCTCTCCAGTACCTTCAGAAAAGTTACAAGGACTCCTGCTTTCACAAAATAACGAAAACCAAGATCCTAATTATTTTGCTTAATTGTTGTTCTATGTTTTAATGTTTCCATGAGGAAATCTTTTACTTTAATAATCTATTGAGAAACCATATTCAGACAATACCTAGTAGATGTATTCCTGCGTAGACCAGGAGGCTGTGCGGCTGGCTCTGCCGCCACCTCTACACAGCACGGCCAGTTTACACGCTCACCATCCTCTGCCTCCTGCGAGCACACGCAGTTCATCTGTTTGACACTCTGTAAGTAGCACAAACATTGTCAAAACAGCCAGGCCGTGTGGCAGCTCTTTCAACCATGACATGCAGAAAATAGTTAAGGGCAAACTGTCCCCCAGGACCTGCATTTTTCTAAATTTGCTGTTACATAAATATCACCTACCTTTGAGACAGCTACTAGACCTATCTATCACATAATATGTCATATTAATAAAAACCAACATGTAGGCATTATTGTACCTAATCACAATTTAAAACCAATTTAATTCTAGGGCACATCTTGCTCCCAGTATTTTACTTTTAAAAATTCTATTAGATGTCTTATCAGTTTTAATATAAAGGCACTTCAACTTAAATATTAGCTCTGACCATATCAGCTATTGTTTTATGCAAAGCTTTTAAGTCACAATAACATAGTTATGAAATGGCAGTAAGTTGGTAGTCTTTTCCCATTAGCTTTAAATTACATCATATTACCCTAAAATATTTCATATAGTATAAGTCCACTTTTTACTTATTTTCTCTTTTTTGGGGGAGGGGGGAAAAGCAAATCTTTTTAAATTTTTATTATTTTTTAAGCCTTATTTTCTTTCCTAATGTTTATGGTGTACCTATTACCATACGTTCTTCCCTAAAGTAAACTGCCTTCTTCAGCTTTCCAAACCCTGACCATCTTCAGCCTTGACATCCTCCAGGTAGCCCCTGTGTTTGCTTACGTTGGTCTGATTCTCTCCTCTCTTCTTCACTTTTCTTAGGCACCTTGGCACCATTCTCTAAAATACTGAGGCTTGAGAATTTGGCAGGGAAGTGAGGAACATCAAGAGTTCCGTTTTGGACATGTAAACCCAAGAAGAAATGACATCTCGATGATCCCTTGAGGAAAGAGAGGAATGCCCTCATCATCCTACCCATAAATCACAAATCTCCAGCCTGCTTCTCCCCCACTGGTTCACAGAAAAGGCCAATCCCCTGATGTGTGCTCTGGGGCCCACCCCATCTCACCTCGATTGGATTTCTCCTTTTCCATCTTTATCTCTCTGCTAAGCCATTCTCACTCTATGTGAAGATGCCCCAGTCTATTCTTCATAAGCATGGCCCTCCAACTCTGCCTCAGAGGTACCTGGGGTTCTGCAGATTCCTGGGCTCACCCCAGACTTGCATGGTTCTTTTTAATTCTTTTTTAAAATATGTCTTTATTGATTTCAGAGAGAGGGAGAGAGAGATAGAAACATCAGTGATGAGTCATTGATCGGCTGCCTCCTGCACGCCCGGACTGGGGATGGAGCCTGCAACCCCGGCATCTGCCCGGGACTCGAACCCCAATCACCTGGATCTTACTTAGAACCACTGAGCCACGCCCGCCGGGGCACTTGCATGGTTCTTAAGCACAGTAAAGTCAGAACAGCCTCGCTCCTGCTTTCATTTTAAATACCAGACTCATCATTCCTATTTCCCACATCCAATCCTTCCAGCCCAGGCCACCACCATATACTCTACTCTCAGAGACAAGCTTCTCCAGATCAGTACCCCTGCATTTGCTGGCTATCACCCCTTTCTCACTGCCTAGTCTCACTTCCAACCTGCTGCAGTGCGGATCTGCCCCCATCCCTGCAGACACGGTCTTCCAGAGGAAGCGCCAGTGTCTTCCCTGGGATATAAGGCAGAACACTTCAGTGATTTCCCCACCTGCCTGAAAGAGTCTCTGCATTTAGCTTCAGACACAGCCCCCTGTCCTTTCTCTTTCTACCTCTGCTTTTTACTGACTCCCCTTCCTGGCCTCCAAAGGTTGGTTTTGCGTGCCTTTTCCACTTTACACCCCTATCTTAGGCCATCCCATCCAATTCCACGGCTTCAATGACCATCTATATTACAATAACTCCTAATTTCCACCTCAAGTTTTGTCACTCTTCTGGTGAGCCTCAGACCTGTCCATTGTCTAGGCGGCCTTCTCCTTGGAGTCACCTGTCCAAAACGCACCGTGATCTTCCCCACTTCGCTGCCAAACTTCTCAAGTCTCCAAAATCCCTCTGTTGGTTGAGAACACAGGGCTCCCTTCCGCCTCTTTCCCTTCTATTTCTGGGTTGAAGAGCTTCCCTCCAGCCCCTCAAATATCAAAGCCATTCAAAAAAGGCTTTTTGACCTGCAGTCTACACTCGGTTTCCGCTGCTTGCTCGCAGCGTCCAGGTGCTGACCACAGGACTCACCTCCTCCGCTAAGCTCCCGGGGCAGACTCAGTAAACCCTCCCGCGGGCAACGACGAGCCTTCCCTAGAGCCAGAGCAGCCCTGCCGGGTACGCGGGTAGCCGGCCCTGCGCAAACCTCCCGGGCCGGACAGGAGCCGGGACCCGAACAAAACCGGGAAGGCGCGGCCGGGACTGGGGACACCGCC